CCCCCCCCCCCCCCCCCCCCCCCCCCCCCCAACAACAAGAAGAGCGGCAGCAAGGACTATTGGCAAACTCTTGGCAAAACAACAAAAGCAACATGTAGCTATGTCATCCTCATGTCGGCGATTTCGAAAGCCAACCCCCCGGACCCCCCAACCCGCCCAATCAACCAACCAAATCAAACTAAACCACGTCGACCAACCAAAATCAACCAAAAACCAACCTTGGTCTTCCCGGTGTCGTAGTCGAAGTAGGTCATGCTGTGCTTCATCCACGTGTCGTCCAGCCGGTCGGGGAAGTCCTCCCTGGCGTGCGCCCCGCGGGACTCCTTCCTCGCCTCGGCCGCGTGCATGGTGCACGCCGCGTTCGAAAGGAGGTTCTCCAATTCCATCGCCTCGATCAGGTCCGTGTTCCAGATGAGCGACCTACAACAAACAACACAACAGAAGTGGCGCAAAAGTGTGCGTGCGTTTTGAATAATGAATTTTCTACTTTTAAAAATTCTGTAAAACCAAACCTTCACACCAAAGCGAGATTTGATTTGATTGTGCTGGGATAAGACGGCTGCAGCGGCCAATACCCAACTGTGTATGTAAATACGTTCCCCTTGTGCATATCGTGAGAGGGCCAAAAAAAAGAAAGCTGTTCTTTCTGTATTCTGTACATGCGAACGCACGTCTGACGAACGCCCCCGTTGTGGGCGAACGCAACGCAACGCGGCACGGTTGGCGAACTGCAGTTGGCTGAGCCTCGACGCGAAAAAAATGAACAACGGCCGCAGAGCAGGCGGGCGTGACAGCAGTATTTAAGTTGAGTTGCGAGTTGACCGTGGTTTCCCATTGACGGAGGTCGCGCGCAGAGACAAGGGCCGCAAACGATGCTGGGCGTGTGGGGGGGGCAACGCACCCTGCAGTCGTTGTTGGGGTGCAGATGGTACAGTAACGGTGATCTTTGTGTGTTCTTCGTATCGTTGTTGTTGCGTTCTGCCTCGTTGGCCGGTACGTGCTGCCACGGGTTCGAACGCCTCGAACGCAGCAAAACTCGCGAAAACAACTCAACACTACGTACTGCCGCATGAATACTAACACTCCGACAACTCGTGTTCACTTCCTTCCCCCCATCGGACGACCAACGTCGGTTGAACAGCACCAGCCGGCGTGACGGTCACGAACGAACACTCAACAGCTGCACTCGCGTTGACATACCGTATGTTGCACAAGATAACACGTCCCGGTGTCAACACTGACTGCTAAATAAAAAAAGCATCGGGTGTGTATTGTGTGCGGGGGCGGTGGTATCTTAAGTCGCCCTGTTGTATGTCCTGGGAGTTGTAAGTTGGGGTAATGTTGACCAGTAAAACCAAACATGACCTGTCGGGCGTAATCTTGTGTGATACACTCATCACCATCACCAGTAGGCAAACGACTAACACTCCCAACACCCAACGGAAAACGTCAACACCCAACACCCAACACCCAACAGCTACAGCAGTACCTGTCGGTGACCTTGACGTCGCTGAAGTCGTTCACCACACCGTCCACTCGTGTCTGGTGATCGATACACGGCCGCGCCACGCACGAAAAATCGGGAGGGAGGGAGGCAGGGAGGTCATGCACGCACCTCTGCGCCCTGAATTTGGTGCCGCCCTCAAGGCGTCTGCCATCCAACTCCGTGACAAACAAGATGTGTTGTATCAGCAGCTTTGTGAAAACGACTTTTCCAAACATAAAACATGGGTAGAAACCGGTGTTCGTCGAAACAGCTTCGGTTCGGGTCGGTTCGGTTCGGTTCGGGAAGACTAGGTGCAAACCGTAGATACCGGCATCGGCGAACCAAATCATTGGGCAAGCGGACCGAGCGACCGACCGAGCGGACGGACGGCACCTCAGTCCAGTGGTGCAAGAACACGCGACAACAAGCAAGGGCTACAATGTCCAAACTCGACACACACGGGGGCCATGTTCGCGCTACTTGATACTATGGTGACAGTCCCCTCATTTTTCGTGGTGAGACATGCTCCGTAAAAAAACCGTGCGAGCGTGAAAGAACCAAGAAAATAAAAAAAAATCTCACCACTCCCTCGGCCAGGGACTCCTGTGTCCGGTACACCGCGGCGTGGTCCTGCATCTCCTTCTGCAGCTTGAGCCTCAGGTCGGCCACGGGGGTGGCGCCGTCCGCGAAACGAGTCTTGTCGAGCGCCGCCAGGCTTTTCTCCGTCTGGGACTTGGGGGCCTCGGCCACCTGTTGTTATAACACTCGTGTTATTGAACAATAATTGTGTGCCTTTCACGAAAAACACAAAATTAAACAACGACAAAACACCAAAAAAAAAATGCTGTCTTGACATGGAACAGACTTGGCAAAAAATCACTTTCTTTTCATCTCAACAGCGGTCTTGTGCTTTCTCCAGGCACAGATAGACGCAACAAAATATACCACCACAAAAAAAAACGATGTTCACCTTGTCTCCCGGCTTGGAGATCTCGGCGATGCGCAGCGCGCACGCCCTCCCGAAGACCACGATGTCGAGGAGGGAGTTGGCCCCGAGACGGTTAGCCCCGTGCACGGAGGCGCAGGCCGCCTCCCCGGCCGCGAAGAGGCCCGGGACTATCGCGTCGTGGTCGGTCACGTTGCCGTCGCCGTCCTTCTTGGGCCTGATCACCTGTTGTCGGTTTGTTGTCGGTTGTTGTTGCTGATGACGTGTTGTTTATTGTTGCGTGTCGTGGCCGTGTGGTCGTGCTCTCGGTGTTTCGTTCGGTTGGTCATTCATTATTCATCTGGAATCGTTGAGGTCATGTTTGAAGTCGCCATTGATTGGTGCCTTCTGTCTCGCTTCCTCACGACGCCAAGGCCGGGCTGAACCCAGCAAATAATGCATGCTCATACAGCAAAGTAGATGGCCGTCGCTATGCAAACGATCCAAGACAAAAAAACCGGGTAGTTTACACACTCCGAAACATTTCACAGCCGGCAAGAACTCCGCCAACCCATCCCCTCGACAACGTTAGCAAAAAGAAAAGAACTGCACCAAGAAAACACACACAACACTTGACGCCCTACTGCCGTCCTGCGCTTTGTTGTTCCACCCAAACATCGAAACGCCTGCCTTCGGTTCATCCGCCAGCAGCCTACAGCAGTGCCGTCCATGCCGATTCCTCCAAGGAAAACAAAGCAAAGACTCTTTTTCTTATCTGTGCGAGATGTGGGTTTCTTGGTTTGTATTTATGAAAAAAAAAAAAAACACTCACCTCCCCGAGGTGGTTCGTAGGGATGCCTCCCATGTTGTAGTGCACCGTCGGGAGAACCGGGATGGGGTCCTTCGTCACGTCCACGCCGGAGAAAATCTGTGCGGTTTCGCTGATCCCCGGAAGGCGCTCCGCCAACAGCTCCGCGGGGAGGTGGTCCAGATGCTAAAAAAATAAAAAAATAAAGGGGGGGGGGGTCAGAAAGGGACAAGGACGGAGAGCGTGAGCCAAGTACAACTCGAGGACTAAAAATCAGGTCTGGGCGAGGGAGAAATCCGTCTCTACGTACGCTCGGAACAGAGGGCGTATGCATGAATGTCTTGCCCAATGTTGGAGGAGTGTTTTGGTGTAGGATAAACATATGAAACAGCATCTTCCTAAGTTCCTCCCCATTTTTTTTTCTTTTTTCCTAAATACCACCAACAGACACCTCCCACACGCATGCATCTCAGAGCGCGTGCTTTGCGGGAGTGGGCACGTCCCTCTCCCCCCCCCCTGCCCC